TTTGTCTTTTATATGAGTGATTTGTTCTTCAAGTTTTAGAATCTCACTGTTCAAGCTAGAAATTTTAGCATCCAAATTTTCTTTACCAATAGCCTATACAAAGAAAGAATAACATTTTAAACTGTAGGTTTAAAATTTTATTTTAAAATTATTTTCACTTTTTGTTTTAGGTGGTCAGATAATATGCTCAATGAATAAAAACTAACTTATTAGTATAATCCAAAACTAGTTTTAAAAGGGAAAATATGGACTAAGTCAAGAGAAAAGCCAGCATGAACTATAGAACTTCAGTGCTTTTACACAATATATGTATACAGTGATGGCTAACTAGATTTCATCATTACCTTAATTATAACTTTATCAGCATATTACTCATTGGTAACAAATGGAAGATTTTAGTTTTTCTTAAAATTATCTCAATAGGTATTTTCTTAGTCCACCAGCTGATTATTGCACAGATTTACCAGACATCTTTTATTATTTCAAATTTTTTGTCTGTTGTAGTAACTAATTTAATGCAGGTATTCTGATTCAGAAAAAAATTTACATTTTTACTCAACTATCTAGTGGTTACATTATCAAGAAAGCAAGTTTCCAAAGAGTACAGGCAAACAATTGTAATAGTAACAAGTAAAGAGGAATTCATTCCACTGAATCCTGAACTTTTGACTTCATTAACCCCTTGTCAGAAAAACAAGGCAGAATAACCACAATCAAGCAAATAGTCTCTTTGGCATGTATCATAAAATGGAAACCTCAATTTAATCTGTATTTGAAATGACACTAATATCAAATTCATAATGCAAATTAAGGCATTTTTGTTTAGAATTAACCAGACAGTATAAGTGAAGATAAAATTACTAAGTTCTGGTAATATGATTAATAATATATTTGTATGAAACACATACTGCAAATAAGTACTAAGCAAATATAAAATTAAAATTAGATACCCTCTTTCTAAAGGAGTAGCAACATTAAACTTATATTTCTAATAATTATAATACAAATTCAGTATTATTTCTTATGTTTACCTCGCTGGTTAGGCTATGAAGGTTCTCTTCTGCCCATTTTATACTTGACTTCATGCTCAAATTACTCGCTTTCAAGTATATGATCTGTTGTTGGGCACAGATGTATGCTATCTGCAGCCTCGCCATCTCCAGCCGTCTCTCCCCAAGGATTTCTTCATTATCACAAATAGATGGTGTTTGTATATCTAAGAGCTGAAAATTTTCTTCATTTGAACTTTCAACTACCTCATGTATACCCTGAAAGAACTGCTTTTTGGTATATAAGGTTAAGGCTGCCGTGCTCTGCTCTTCTTGGCTTATATATTTTTTCAAGGAAAACTGAGATAAAAATACCATTGGATTTGTCCCTTGACCTAAATTAGAATTTCTAAAGAACATCATCAAATTATTAACTCCATCAGCGAGAACCTGAAGTTCATTACTGAGCTTAGTATTCACAGCATTCAGGAATCCCTGACTCTGTTTCAGCTTCTTAGTAGCTTCCTCTTGTTTAGCATTTAACGCCAGAGATTTGTAGCTCGTTTCAGAAGCCATCAACTGGTATTTATTCCGTCGCTGAATTTTTAAGTTCTTTAATTTCTGCAGAGTTTGAACCTCATCCTCTAATTTCTGTATCTCTGTGTCATCCAGTGTAGGTGTCTTTAAATCGAAAGTTTTACATGTTCTAAGAGCTTCATCCAATGCTGTTCCTTCTAAGATGGGCTTGCCTGATCTTTGAAGGATGCTGAAAGCTTCCAATTCTTTTTCAGACAATACATTCTGTTCATTCACATTCCCACAAAACCATTTCAAAAATGACTCATCTTCAACCGCCTCAAACAGCCAGTCAAAATCTTCTCCATTAAGACTATCAGCTTTAGGATAACCAATTTTTTTCAATGTTTCCACAAACTCCTTTCCACAACTCATAGTTTTACTACCCCTGTTTCTTATATTTGATAAGAATCTATGGTAATGATTTTTAAAAACTAAATTCAAACAGAAAAAAGCATGTTTACACTAAGTCCACAGAAGAAGGGGGAAAAATACAATCTATAATGTGTTTTCCTAGAGGGGAAGAAAATAAGTATTAGACCACAAACAAGGCAAATGCATTTTAAATATACAGATAATTTTATCAGATGACATCAGGAAGCTACTTAAATGAAAGGCAGATGCAGGTTCGTTATCTGTTGCAAATAAAGCAAAACATTAGCAATTAGGGCGTTGCTCAGGGCACTGCATCAGTAATGAAAATCTAATTAGTGAAAATTTAACAATAAAGACATTTTTCCAATGATGAAATCATTTAAAATACACTATATTTTGTAAAATAATAGCTGTTTTCACCTGTCGTTACTAGTTAGGAAATAGAAATATGTCACTTTTTTTGAGGAAGATCAACTAAATATTTACCTCAGTCAGCAATTCATCAAGTTCAAACGACTCAATCTCCAGATTTAACCAGTCTAATGCAGAGAAAACCAGGGCAAACTGACAAGTTTCAAAGTACCCAGCAGTCATCAAGCAAAAACTATTTTTTTCACCCACCGCACAACGATCCACGACTTGAGCCGGAAGGTCGGGGGCAGTGGATCGTCTTAAAAATCTCTAAACGTTTGACATTCTGAGAGCAAAATCTCTGGGCTGGCTTTAGTTTGTTTCTGAGGTATCCAGTTATGATACTTCGGATCCCTAATAAAACACATCCACAAAAGCACCGAACTGCTGTTTTTAAAAGATGCATAAAGGATAGGAGTATATTTCAGGTTTAAGGCTTGCCCGGTATGACTGAGGCCTTTTCTCCGCAGCACCCGAAAAAAAAATACTTACCAACCCCAGCCGGATGATTGGCCAAGCACCCCCACCCCTGGCAGGAAGCCTCAGCCTCCCGCGCACCCCACGCCCGAGCCCAGTGGCCTCTATCGGCGCCTCAAGCTGGCTGCAGGAGGGTAGCGGCGGCCTGGCCGGCTCAGAACCCGAGCCCCTTACCTGAGGCGGCTCCGCCGGCGTTCCCCGCTGCCTCCAACAGCGCGCGTCGCAGTGCCTCACGGGAGTGCCGGGACGCGCACGCGCAGATAGCAACAGCGCTAAGGTCCGCTCGAGCGTCGCGTCGCGGAGAGGCCGAGGAGGAACCGCTGAGCTGCCCCTCCCTCCCCGTCTCCCGGACCCCTTAACTCCGCCCCCGGCCCGCGGTCCTTCCCGCTAGGCTCAAGAGGATTGGTTTCCTCGCTGGAGACTCCGCCCCCGCCCCGCCCCGCCCTAGAGTTGTCGGTTTCTGCGGGCTGAGCGCTGCGCAGCGAACCAGGCTTCTCTCGATCAGTTAGGCCTCCTGTCCTAAGAATGGCTCGTAGTCTTTGACACCTCCAGGAGACAAAAGCCTGAGGCCGAACAGACCCCTCCCCCCGGCACGGTGACCTAGCTGCATGCAAGTAACAGGGTCAGTAGTGGGGTCCCCACCAGCAGCAGGTCTCTTGCAGTGTAGGATTATTGGCTATAGATTCTTTTTTTTTTTGTTTTTTTTTTTGATTTTTCGAGACAGGGTTTCTCTGTGTAGCTTTGCGCCTTTCCTGGGACTCACTTGGTAGCCCAGGCTGGCCTCGAACTCACAGAAATCCGCCTGCCTCTGCCTCCCGAGTGCTGGGATTAAAGGTGTGCGCCACCACCGCCCGGCTAGATTCTTTTACAATGGTTGTTTAACAAAAGCCCTTAACTCCTAAGGCCTAACTGACTTCCTCCACGATCCTATCTATGTCAAAATATAAAGCACGAATGTTTGGAGTGCTGTGGAAGCAATGCATTCAACTCAAAAGTACAGACATTCTGAGGAGGATGCTAGGATACCCACAGTCATTCGATGAAAGACAGAATCCTGACATAAGGCTAAGTCTGATGCAAGTCTGCTTAATGGCCTAATGGCCCCAGAAAACTGACCTTTGGAGTTACAGTTGGCATTGGTAACTACGTGTTTGTATGGGAGAGAATTTGTTTGTTTTTCTAGCAGACAAACCGCATTTGCAACTTGCCAATCTCTTGTAAAATGACATATAAATTTGCAAGGTGTGGGCTTTGATCATTAGAAAAAATAGTACTCCCCTCCAGTCACAAATGAGGTGGCTTATCAGACAAAGTTCTAGGCTTGTTACTACTAGGTAGAATTCTACTCTCCTCCCTGATTTTTAACATGATTGATTGGTTGGTTGATTGATTGATTGACTTTATGTTTGAGTGCTCTATCTGCCTGTACACCTTTATGCCAGAAGAGGGCATCAGATCTCACTACAGATGGTTGTGAGCCACCATGGGGTTGCTGGGAATTGAACTCAGGACCTCTGGAAGAGCAGCCCATGCTCTTAACCTCTGAGCCACTTCTCCAGCTCCCTGCTTTTTTGTTTTTTTGTTTTTTGAGAAAAGCATTTGTTGCATGGCCCAGCCTGGGCTTGAATTCAAGATCCTCCTACTTTAGCATCTCCAGGTGTTGGGGTCATAGGCATGAATCACCTTGACCAGCTCTTAATGTTTTTAAAGAGGAAAAAAAAAAAAAACTATAACATTCTAGCAGATAATTTAAATTGAAGTTGAAGACATTTACTATTAATTCTTGTTTTACTTTTTATCCCCCTTTTCAAAGTCAATAAAATCTGAAAGTGAATAAAAACAAACATTACAGGGGGAAGTTCTCAGCATGGTGCCTAATCTGGGGTTAGGAAATAGGGGACAGGCCCAGAGGACCGCTGGAGTCAAGCTGGAGGTAGGCGCTCAGCAGGGAGCTGGTGCTGAGTGGGTTTGGCCCAGGAAGTGCAGGCAGTGCCTCTGGGAAATTCTGCTGAGGAGGCAAAGAGCGAGAGAAAAGGAGCCAAATGACACAAGACGAGGGGGTGGGAGCCTGAGAGGATCTTTGGTTTGGTTTTGTTTAAAATGGGAGGAACTTGGAGATATTTATAGAACATGAGGAAGAACTCAGAGAAGACAAAATTAAGGATGCCAGAAAGACAAAGGGCTACTACACGCAGGATGAGGTCCCCCAGAGCAGGAGGCACAACCTGGAACCCAGGAGACCTTCCAGCAAACCCACTCTTCTTAGTGACTCCTGGGGGGTTCCTGGCCCCCAACTCTCCATTTCCAGTGGCTGGCCACAGCTATTTGTTTGCAAGGTGTTTGTGAGGCCATAAGAAGCCATAAAAATATAAAGATTAGAACAGATCAGGCCCCTGAGTACAAAAGACAAACACAATGAGTTTAATTATTCAGATCTGGGAAGTTTTCCTGGAATTGGATTAGAAATTTAAGAAGGCAAATATGTTAAACTTATTTCCAAGACAAGCTTGTTTTCTGCTCAAAATCAGTTGTGGTTTTAATGGGGTCAAAAGGTAAAGGGAAGCCGGGAGCTAATCTTTCCTGAGCAAGCCTGTGAGAATGGAATGGACAAAACAAGCCTAAATGCAGGACCAGGAGTGAAAGAAAGCTTTGCTGTTTGCCTTTTCTGCTTCCTGGCTGAAGTTTTATTCTGCTGTCATCAATATTTTAGAAGTGTTTTATGTTTTAGACAGTATCTTTTCAGTCCATTTTAAAACTCTGTATACAGCTGTGATGTTAAAGGTTGTTTGCAGATGCAGTTTAATGGAAATGAAGAGATCTACTCTCCAAACAACACGGAGATGGGACTGTTTTTAAGCCAGGGAGTGACAGCCTCCAACATGTGTTAGCTTGATTCTGCATTGTTTTTTTCAAGTCACAAAAGGTCTGAGAAGGCTGGCACTGGACAACTCAGAAATGGGTAAAGGCAAGGGAACCCCAGGAGCTGGCAGAACCCTGGGGGCTGTCAGCCAGTGAGATGTGGTCTGGCAGCTTCTTCCTATTGGTCTTGTTCTTCCAGAAGAAAGCTGACTTTCTTTAGACCATGGAGTTGGGGGAGGGGAGATTTGCTTTTCATTGTGTTTACATTCATGTGACAAACTGAAAACTCAGTACCAAACGGAGGAGCATTTGGGTCTGCATCACTAGGAAGGAGTCACCATGGTGGTGGGTAGGGACGGGTCTTTGGAGCTGGAAGCTGGTAACAAGAGGCCTGGCAGAGTTTAGGGCCCAGGGGAGCCCAGGACCTTAGATAGGCTGAGAGCCTCGTGTCTGTTGAGGCAGACTGGGATGAAAGCCACTGCAGCTCCCTTCCCAGGCCAATGGCAAAACTGGAAAAATCCAGAGCTCCTGTGCCCCAGCTGTCTGGGTAAGATTGGAAAAAGGAGAAGTCATGCAATGCCCAACTAGCAATTAGTCCAGATGAGTCCAGCACCTGTTTATGCAGCCATAACCTCAGCATCAGTGTGATGGAGAGGGACAAAGACTCAGGGCCCACTTGCAGAGGAGGCTGGGCTTGAACTAACCATGAGATCCCAAATGAGACAGCAAGGACAACAGGCTAAGTAGAAGGTAGGCTGGGTTGAGGTGAAGGACAGGAGACAGCTAAGTAGAAGGTAGGCTGGGTTGAGGTGAAGGGCAGGAGACAGCAGGCATTTGCGTTTCATTCTGGGGATGAAGAAGCAGAGGAGCAGCAGGGCCATCTTGGAGCTACTCTGGCAGCCAAGAAGGAAGTAGACAAGGGTTTGGATTCATGCAGGGGTCTCATGTGGGGGCAAACATGAAGAAATATAGAGATAGGGCTAGGGAGGTGTCTGGTGGGACTGGGGTGGGGCAGAACAGCTATGGAAGAAGTGCCATCTCTGAGCCCTAAGTTTCCTGTGAGATGGACCCAGCATGACTATGGAGGTGCTAATTATGCAAAGTATTTAGCACAGACCACGGTGCCCACTGCCCCCAATAGAAAGGAGGAGTGGGGTAGACTCAAAACCACATTATTTGGGATTTAAATTGCCATATTGACATCAACACCCAAGTTGTACCAATTCTGGGGTCCCAATTGTGTTCACATCAGAAAACACCCTTTTCTCTGAGTGACCTTCAACTGCCTCAAAGGCTGTCCACCCCTTCTTCCCCTGCACCCAACCCTGGCAGGAGTACACATATTCAAGAATCCAGAGCCCATTGTTGCCTGCTGGGAGAACTGATCCTCCCCAAGATTCATGGGTTCTACCTTAAAACTTCCTAGCAGGTACCACTAGGCCATCTCCAATGGGCTCTACAAAGGATCATTGGTGACACCTTGTTCTCTGGAAGTCCTGATCCATCCCTCTATGGTATTCAAGGTGGCAAATCCTCGAACCTTGATGCACTCCTCTCTCTGGGAGGACAGCCGGGTCCCCAACTACAAGGGCCAGGGTTCCTGTCAATGGGCTGAAGCCTCCCTGTAGGCAGTGGAGTATCAGGGACAATGTCCTCTCCCCTCCTGTGTGTGTTCTAACAACCTCACAGCTGCTTCTGTCAGGGCAGTTCAGAAGCCTAAATTCCCGTGCTAACACCAAAGCACAGCTGGCCACACCTGCACCTCAGCACAGCACCTCAGCACAGTAGGTATTGAGGGCAGAAGCTGTGCCTGAGTCATTCTGAGGATGCTGGAATAGGACCAGGGAGATGTCCTTGAAGGTGTAATCTGGAGAC